TTCACAGACAAGGTAGCACCTGGGCTGAACATTCAAAGAAGAGGCTGACAGCTAATAGTTTAGTTTGGCTATAATGCAAAGAGTATGAAAAAGAGGGAGGTGAAACAAAGCGGGTTCCCAATCACTGGAAGTATTCAAGTAGATGACAGATTCAAATTGTTACTAATGCAAAAGAGATTTCTGCAGTGCAGAAGACACTGAACTAGATGCCTTTTGATCTGATCAGACTCAAGATTTTATGTTTTGAAGACTAGGATAGATCCCAAATTTCATCTAATTAATGTAAAATAAGTAGTGATCTACTTAACTAAATCTCAAGGAATTCTGTTACAACACTGATGGTCTATAGGAAGACTACAACAAAGGAGAGTAAGGAAGAATTCTGCTGTGTCTCCAGCACTATACAAGGAAATGGGTGCCTTAATTAGCTGATGAGTATTTTGGTTACTTTCCAGCTACAGCCTGAAGAAAACATCACCTAAGACTAATTCCTTGTGAACTAACACTACAGTCACCAACCAACCTTCTTCTGGGCCTTAGGTTTCATCCTCTCCAAATTGAGGATAATAACACCTGTGCTACCTAACTCATAGAGGTGCTGGAAGAAAATTGCAATTTAATCTAGCACATGTTATATAAACATGAGAATAAGCTGGGAGAGGCAACATGGTGTGATGATACAGAATGCTGCACTCGAAAACAGGAACAGCTGCCATCTTGCCTCTGACACTTTTACAAGGCACAAATGTATAAAGTTGTGATAGCAAGGGAAGGAGAGTATGAAAAAGATCCTTAAAAAAAAATCTGGGGGCTGCCAGCACAGGGCAAATCAACAGCACAACAGGACAGGTTAAAAAATAAATAAATAGCTCCCCCCAGTACACACACCAAAAAACAAAAACAAAAAAACCAATGGGATGAATAAATCTTAGATTGAATCAAGAAGAATATGGCATACAGAGCAAGGGAAGTGATAGTCTGACTGTCCTCTACCCTAGTCAGACTATATCTCAGCAGAAAGTTCAGTTCTATGTACCACACTTTAGAGATATCTAGCATTCACATAAGCACTTTAAATTTTGCACAACACTTTACATACATTCTCACTTGCTCCTCACAAGAACCCTGTAAATAAGTGCTATTTATTAACCCTTACTTTACAAACGAGGGAATGAGGCTGAGAGATTAAAGTGATGACACAGCTAGGAAGTGTCTGAGGACGGATTTGAATTTAGGTTTTCTTGACTATACTTCCAGTACTCTATCCACTGCACCATCTTACTAACAAGTAGTTAGTTCAGGGCAGTGAGAAAAAACGGATTCAGAGCCCTAGAAGCTAAGTTCTAATCATGGTCCTACCACTTACTACTACGTGACCCTGGGGATAACTCATTTAACTTCTCTAGCTTCAGGAAAAGGAGAACTCAGAGATTTTAAGGTACCTTCCAGCTCTAAAATCAATGAAAATTTGGAAAGTGTGTAGAGAAAAATGACTAGAATGGAAAAGGGCCTTGACACCATACCGTACAAGGGTCAGTGGAAGGAGCTGTAGACTTTTAGCCTGAAGAAAATACCCTGGGTTGGGGGAGGGGAGAGAACGATGGCTGTCTCCAAATACTTGAGGGCTGCCATCCGTAAGCCGGATTCAAGCGATTCTGCTCAGCCCTGAGGTTAGAACGAGTGAAGAACAATTCAGGTTGGAAGTTTAAATAAATAAATGAGCGAATGCCACGGACACCGGGAGCGAAGAGTGACCACTCTGAAGGGCGAACGGTAAAAAAATCCCCGGGCACAACTCAGCTCCCCGAGAAGGAAGGAGACGGGCCCGACGTCTGTCTGCGGGGGCTCAGCCAGGTGGGTCCCCGCGTTCCCGCAGTTTGCGCGAAGCCGGGTGCCGGCTGGTCAAAGGGCGCAGGTCACGCCCCCGAGCCTCGGGCGCTCCTTCTCCCCGCCCCCACCCCCGCGTGGACCCGGCCAGGAAGCCGGAGGGGGGAGGGGGAAGCCGGAGGGGGGAGGGGGAAGCCGGGGAAGCCTCCCCGGAGCAGCCCCGGGCGCTAAGCGCTGGGGCCGCCCAGATGCGGAGCCGGGCCGGCCCCCCCTCCCGGAGCTCCCCTTCCCCGGGGCTGCGCCTGCGGGCGCTTACCTGCGCAGGCTCGGGGCCGACAAGCTGAAGCGCCGGCTCGCCCGCGGGCAGGCGGCGCTCGCTGGTTTCTTCTCCCCCGGCCAGCCGGGCCGCCCGGCGCCCGCTCGGGATCCGGCGAGGAGGAGACAGCGCCGGGACGGGGCCAGCAGGAGCTTGACGGAGCCCAGAGCCGCCATGCCGGCTGAGTAACGAACCACGGCCGAGTGAGCGGCACCTCGGGCCCGCCGCCCGCCGCCGCCTTCCTGGCACGCGGATGAGCCAAGGCCTCCCGACCGGACGCTCCGCCGATTCCCGAGCGGGGCTACGCTTCCCAGCGGGTGCCGCCAGGGCCCGGCGCCGCCTGTTCGCGCCCGCTTGCGGAAGGTACGTGCGTTCCTGGAGTAAGGCGGCCGAAACGCCCGCCCACTGCCCTTGGGCTATTGGGCAACGATGACGTCAAGGGCCCCGCGCGGGTTCCGAGTGCGCGTCTCGGTGGCCCTGAGCTGTGCGGCTCTTTCTGCTGCTCAAGGTCTGCCCTCTTGGCCTTTACCACCCCGTGCCCGTGGTGCGGTCTGCCCTGTTGGCTCTTCTTCAATGGCGTGGGATGCTTATCTTTGTTTTTTACGTATTCTTGAACGTATTGACAGATGGACCCGAGGGGCGGTCCTATTTCAAATGCTGCCTGGTAACTTGACAGAACTACTTTTCTCTTAGGCAGTCTAGGACCTTTAGTGTTAATGTTATTTTATTCTAAATTTAAACACAGGCCCGCAAAAGAGCATTTCCTTTGCAGAACACGAAAGAGGATTATATATGAAACTATAAATCTCCATTTTATACTGCTTCCTTTTTGTTTTTAAAAATGTGTAATGAACTCAATGCCCTTTAAACAGATCACTGAAGATTGTATAAAACTATAATTTCCTGTCTTATACTGCTTCCTTTTTTTTTTTCCTCAAAAATTCATCATAAAGTTCACAGTATTTAAAGTTGGAAGTAACCTTGGAGGTCATCAAGTCCAGGCCCCTCATACAGATGAAGAAAAGTAACCCCAAAGAATTGAAATGACTTGAGATCAAAGAAAAAGTGACCTCAGAAACCATCTGGTCCAGCCCTCACTTTTTACAAAAGAGGAAACAAGACCCAGGGAGGTTAAATGACTTGGCCAAGATCAAACATGTAAAAAGTCAGCAATGCTGGTGATGGGGGCTCTAATGATAGACCCCTAAAAGGCCCTGGACTTTCCCATGAGGCCCAGGTCCCTGGCATTGGCCTGAGGCTCATCTCAGTATAATCTACTGTCCTCTCATAGTGGCTTTGACTCTGCCAGAATCTCCAGTTCTCTGTTACCCCTAAACTAGCCCAACCCTTCATTGTCTGTTACCTCCAGATCTAAGCTGGCCACTTCCCACCCTTGATTCCATCTAGACCTACTCCTTGACAACTGTATAAAAGTGTACATCTTGGCCCCATTAATTCACTCAGATTCTTAAAATCTGACCAATGGTTTATATTCTTATAATCTGGGTAATAGGGTAGATTCCTAAAATCTCACCTACCTCAACCAATGTTTTAATAAACCTTGTCTCTGAGTGAAAGAAGGCTTGAGTCCCATTCCTTCGAAGCAGGACCCTTGTATTCTGCCTCTGAATTTCGGGGTTCCCAGCACTCCTAGACCTCAACACTGGGATTTCAACTTAGGTATTTTGATTCCAAGTTTAGCATTCTTTTCATTGTAGCAGAAAAAGATACATATCTAAAGGGAAAAAAATTATCTCACTGAACTAAAATTACCATTATTACTTTCCCGCTCTACTTCCTGCCAGGCCAAAACAAAACAAATCTTGGGAAAAAATTGGAATGCTGACATAGTCAGATGGTAACTTATGCTTGAGGAAAGAACATTTCAGAAACTTCTGATGAGAGATAGGTCACATGGTTAGACAATCTAAAAACATCAAACTCATGAGGGTTAGGAAACACTGAACAAAATCCCATACAAAATCATACTTTATGTTGCTGATGAAAGGGGAAAAGCATCTATTTGTTCACTATTAATTTAATAAGGTTTCATTCAGTGTCTGCAAGGAAAGCTCTCTGATGAGCTCAGATCTTAAATTGAACAATATCTCCCACATATGACCCTGTTTTACTATTCCCACTATCCCACTGTACTTAAGACTCTTATTACCTCTCACTTGGTCTCTTGTAATAGCTTTCCTTACTAGTCTCCTCATCACTAGTTTTTCTCTCTCATACCCATGCTCAATCCATTCTTCATGCAGCTACATGGATTAATCTTCTGAGGAATCAATCAATTAAAAAATATTTCTCACTTATTAAATGCTAGGCACTGTGCTAAGTGCTAAGTGCAAATAACAAGCAAAAAACAGCCCTTGTCCTTAAGAAGCTTATATTCATTAGTTGTGCAATAATTTATATACTACACAGAGACTCTAAAGGCACTATCCCAACTCACACTGAGACTAACAGGTCAGGTCCTCAGAAAAGGCTAGCTATATATCCCCTCAAAGTTCTAGGGGTGACTGAGAGTTTGGGGAGTGTCTTTCTCTAGTACTGTCACAAGTCTCATGTATTCTCCCCAATATCAATTGCCACTGATTATCACTCCAATATTATTTTGGCCGTTTGAAATTTCCTTGATATCACTTATAACCAGTTAATATCAGTTGTTTTTTGCTAAAGAATATTTACTGAGAAAACAGAACAAGACCTAAAGTACAAAAACCTCCCAAACTGGGAGTGTACTCTCTTCTTTCACCTCATTCTGAGGGGAGTAGAATCAAACTTAATGTTTAACTGACACTAAACTTACTCCCTAGGCATCCAGTCATAAGGAAGACCTGAGTTCAAATGTTACTTTAGACACAAGCTGTGTGACCTTGGGCAAATCACTTAACCCTGTTTGCCTCAGTTTACTCATCTGTAAAATGCTCTGGAGAAGGAAATGGCAAGCTACTCTTGTATCTTTGCCAAGACATTCACTTCTGGGGATTCCATAACCAATGAATGGTTCCCTTGCTTATGGGTCAAATATAGTTTATATATAACCTGAGAAGTAATAGAGATTCATTTGAGTTTATTGAGTGTGAAAAGGACACACAAACCAGAGCCAACACAAACTGACTTCCAAGAGCCCATTGTTAAATTTTCAGGTGCAGCATTTATACCTGGGAAATCAACAAACATTATCAATAAGTATTTGATTTATTGTTTCATTGATTGTTTAGACTTAAGAAAGTGGTAGAGAAAATAATGAAGATCAAATTTAAAAGTATGTTGTGTGTACATTTTTTTTTTCTGGATAGACAGTTGTTAAACATTGACCAGAACACCCCTGAGGAGGAGGAGAGGGAGATACATGGTTAGACCTACATTTTTGGAAGATAGATTTGGTAGCTTTGCGGAGGATGGATTGGAGTGGAGAAAGATTCAAGGCAGAGGGACCAATTGGAAGGCTGTTGCAATAATCCATGAAAGACATGATGAGAGCCTGAGCTAGGGTGGTGTTTGTGTAAGTGAGAGGGAAGGGGAGATATCTGAGAGATGTTGTAGAGAAAGAAATGACAAGATTTGGCAACTGATTGGCTATGTAGAGCAAATGAAAGTCAGGAATCAAGTATAAAACTGAGATTGCAAACCTGAGTAACTGGAAGAATGGAGATTCTATCAATTGTCATTTTGAAGCTGAAAAGAGTAATAGATTTTAGTGAAAGAATAAATTCTGTTAAATTTGAGGTGTCTACAGGACATCCAAATGTCCAGCAAGAAGTTAATGATGTGGGACTGAAGTTGAGGAGACTATAACTGGATAGATAGATGATAGATAGATAGATAGATAGATAGATAGATAGATAGATAGATAGATAGATAGATAGATAGATAGATGAATGGATATAGGAATCATCACCACAGATGAGGATATGAAGAAATTGTTGTCATGCTTGATGGAACTAGCCATTGAATGGACAAAGACTCTACTACACCCCTGGTGAACCTTGAAAAAGTCGGACATTCTCTAGGGAGTAGACTGAAGTAGGTAACAGTTATTAGGAGTGTAACTGCTGGAAGCAGAGAATCAAGCCAGCTATGGAGGAAAAACTCAGCTCTTGAGAAGGACCTGCCCTTTGCCTTTACCCTTTATTAGACAGCAGTGGCAGAAGAGGACAGGGGAAATTTTTCTCATCACCCCTAGGTTCTTGTAGCAGAGATCCTTGCCCAAAGTCAACACTGCATCTAACAGGGACCAGGCCTAGTAAATTGAGGCACAAGGCAGGAGGAGCTTTGTGAGTCAAGAGAAAGTTAGACCTAGTCATCAGTCCGTAAACTACAGAGAAGGGGAGCAGCATGAGGAGAAAGGACATCAGGGCCCTGCACTTCCAGAAATGCCAGTTCCATGGGCACCTTTCTGTGTGCGCCTTTCTACTGGCGTATTCTATGCAAGGGCTCTCTCTTCCCACTCATGCTGGGTGAGCTTGTGAGAAAGTGTGTCCCAGGTTTATGAGGGGAATTCTTTGGTACTATTATGATAATAATAATATATTATTATATTATACCACCTTCAGCAAATAACTTTGCTTTGAGATAATTGTGTCAACAAGCCTTTAGAGGTAAGTGCACCAGCATTAGCTCTAGAGCTATGGTTTTGGAAGTGTGGACCCCCACAGTGCCTTAAAACTGGGGTAGTCAACTCCCAGGAACCCAGCCTGCAAGATAAATTGGGAGGGAACTACCTAAATATCATGCTACATATACTTCATTCAATCATTCATGATCACTGTGATTTAGCCAGACTAACTTTTTTTTTCCTTCTGTTTTTCACATATGACACTCCATGGTCCATGTCCTGTCTTTGAACATTCCTAGAATGCATTCCTTCCTAATCTCTGCCCCTCAGAATCCCATTTCCTTCAAGGCTCAGCTCAAACACCGCTTTCTAACTGAGGCCTTTCCTGATACTCTTAGCATCTAGTGATTTTTACACCCCACTCCTCCCACCCCCACCCCCAATTACCTTGTATTTTACAGAATCACAGAATTTGAATATTGGAA